CATAACGAATACTACAGAGGCTTTTAAAACGTTAGAAACTAGAACCAAGATAAAATTAAATGGTGTTATACGTAGAATGTGTCTTCAAAGGCCTAGCATGGCCTGGTGGTTAGGGAAATCGGTTCGAAAATGTGCGGGTTACGGTTCAAATTCCGTCTCCGAACATGCTCGACCTTTCAACCGAGGGACAATTATAATGTTACGGTGAATCCCACCATTCAATGGTAAAAAGTAGTCCAAGAGTTGGCGGTGGGTGATGTTGACTAGCTGCCTTCCCTCTATTCTATCACTGCTAAATTAGAGAGGGCCAGCGCAGGTAGCCCTGTACCTACACTTTGCTTTCTAATAAATAAAAAATCTAAACATTTTAAAAACCTTGTGTATAGCAGCAAGCACGATAAAAGATGTGAATGTGAGGATTCCATCTTGGAGAACCAGAAGTCAATAAGTGGGATCTGATCGTTTTGAAATACTCAGCTAACTATGAGTAGTGTTACTATTAGTGATGATACTTTTTGAAATACATATTCTACATAATACGCGCGTTTTAAAACAAGGCAGGTTTGTAGTTTAATTTAACTTGCAACTGACGTGCATTAACTTTATCCCGTAGTGGATCTTCATTAGTTGGATCTATTTATAGTTACCACTTAGGCTTGTTTCCACGACAACCATTTCTGTGGTAATTAATATTTTGTTGTTGAGATATTATGGCTTCTTGAAGGACGTAGCGAGGTTAGACGAGTACTTTTCAACAGTTTAATTAAACATTTGTTTCCATAACAACCATATCTTACTCATATAAGGTTACAAGGAGAACATGGCGAGGTTGGGCAAGCACTGTTCAAAAGTTTGATGAATTACGTTTTCTCAAACGCGTTCATAAGTGTAATGCGAAAACACAAAAGAGTATAACTGAAACACCTGTAAAACTCTCAACAAACGTGTCGTGAACAATAACAAAAACGTTTCACTTTCTTATTGCGTTCAACTATTTTCTACATAGATACGTCTCGTGCCTATCCCATGCTCACGTTTTCTGGTCAAAGTAATATATATATCTGAAGAAATTGAATTGAATAGATGGAGATTGTCTGTTGCAGAAACACAAGTGTAGAGGACGACGTTTCTAAAGTCTTCCGCCTTTCGTCGTCCTCTATACTTGTGTTTCTACAACTGGTGGTTGCCGTCCATTCAACTAAACTTCATCATGAATACTCTGTCTAAACAATCTATGAAGCCCCCCAGTGGCACAGCGGTATGTTTGCGGACTTACAACACTAGAAACCGGGTTTCGATACCCGTAGTGGGCAGAGCACAGATAGCCTATTGTGTACTATTGTGCTTAATTCCAAACAATCTATCAAATATAGATCTGTTCTTCATAAAATAACTTACAATGTATTAAGATAAATTTGAATACGCAAATCAGCAAGTCAACGCAACAACCAGAGCCGATATAAGGCTTACGGTGGAACGGAATGCATGAGAACTACATTTTGACATTGATTGGCCTTATGTTAGGTACGGAGTCTGTGTCCAAAGTTTATTATACAATTAAAAAGCGTATTTTTCTAGATTAACGGTTACATGTTTTCTTTTTGTTCCCGTAATCCACGATTTTTTAATTTATCGCTGCTTTGCAAATCTTAAAAAAATGTTCTCTCCGTTTATTCTTAACAACGTAAAACATTGTTCTCTCAGTATATCCATAACAACGTAAAACATTGTTCTCTCAGTATATCCTTAACAACGTAAAACATTGTTCTCTCAGTATATCCATAACAACGTAAAACATTGTTCTCTCAGTATATCCTTAACAACGTAAAAAAAAATTCTCTCCGTTTATTCTTAACAACGTAAAACATTGTTCTCTCAGTATATCCTTAACAACGTAAAAAAAAATTCTCTCCGTTTATTCTTAACAACGTAAAAAATTGTTCTTTCAGTTCATCCTTAACAACGTAAAAAATGTTTTCTCAGTTTATCCTTAACTAAATACTGAGATAACCTTTTTTACGCTGTTAAGGATAAACTGATATAACATTTTTACGTTCTTAACAACGTAAAAATGTTATCTCAGTTTATCATTAACAACGTAAAAAATTGTTCTCTCAGTTTATCCTTAACAACGTAAAAATGTTCTCTCAGTTTATCATTAACAACGTAAAACATTGTTCTCTCAGTTTATCCTTAACAACGTAAAAAATGTTTTCTCAGTTTATCCTTAACAACGTAAAAAATTGTTCTCTCAGTTTATCTTTAACAACGTAAAAAATTGTTCTCTCAGTTTATCCTTAACAACGTAAAAATGTTATCTTAGTATATCCTTAACAACGTAAAAAAATGTTTTCTCAGTTTATCCTTAACAACGTAAAAAATTGTTCTCTCAGTTTATCTTTAACAACGTAAAAAATTGTTCTCTCAGTTTATCCTTAACAACGTAAAAATATTATCTTAGTATATCCTTAACAACGTAAAAAATATTTTCTCAGGTTATCCTTAACAACGTAAAGCCCCCCAGTGGCACAGCGGTATGTCTGCGGACTTACAACGCTAGAAACCGGGTTTCGATACCCGTGGTGGGCAGAGCACAGATAGCCCTTGTGTAGCTTTGTGCATAATTAAAAAACAAACAAACAACGTAAAAAATGTTTTCTCAGGTTATCCTTAACAACGTAAAAATGTTATCTCAGTATATCCTTAACAACGTAACTTAACGGCCGTACTGTTGCTGCGTAATCTATTATTAAAACTATTGATTGTATATTTTATTTAGTTTTAAACTATTATTCGACACCGATATATCTTTATTCTTGTTAATTTTACATGTTCCTGTTCTTCCTGTCCGTCTTGCTACTCCTCATGATTGATGTGATGTTATGGAAAACATTCATTGCCTCTGGCAGAAAAAGAAAATTCTGAAAGTGCTTACGGACGAGGTGAGTGTTTTTTTATATCAACGCTAATACGTATTTCCAGTGTAAATTAATTATCACAATTTTGCATGTATGAGGGATAGACAATAAATAAAATGCTCTGATTAATCGTCACGAGGTACAGAATAAAAATTCAGTCTAAAGAGTTTTGAGCTTCTGGTGGTGTCGTCTCAATTAAAAAAAAAAGGACAAAACTCAGGGTGATGAAGATAAAATACGGTATAGGTCATTTCAAGCAACATTTTTCGTAGGCTTAGAGCTAAAAATATTTCCAAAACTAGGCCCACTCGTTAAGCCTACCTTTTCTTCTATTATTTTTGTAGTCTTTAAAATATAAAAAACTACACAAAAACAGAACATAACAAAAATGTAATGACAACAACAACAATGTTATATTGTTAGTATTCAGTCAACGTGAAACAATGATACCATTTGTGAAGGTGCGAACTTATGTTAACAATGCCATAATAATTGATGAAACACAGTCAAAAGTTTGAGGTGTCATATAGTGAGCTATCAGGGTTTTTGTTTATTATAAACCATTTGATATATAGCTGTTTTTATCAGAAAATATAACCAAGAGCTTTAAGTGATTATTTGGACGTTTCACAATTTCTGGTCGATTTTTATACTGGTGTAGAATTCTTGCTTAAACAAACAATAACAAAGTTAGATATTGTCATAAATAATGTGTTTAAACAGTCCCGAAGTAAGCTATGACAAAATGAAAACTAAACGTTTATACATATAAAAAAAATCATGTTTTCTATTTTAAGATGACACTAATTATGCCATTTTCACTGCTCTAAAACGTTTAATTTGGTTCGAAAATTTTGTCTTTTTTTAAATACACTCTTAACTGGACATGTCAATAACTAAAATTGAGTGATATGTTGACAAAAGTTGACACACTAGAACAAAAGTTAGAATTGTTTGGAAGGTCCTTAGCTAAAACTTAGAATTCTCGCTAAAAGGTATAATTGTCAGGAAGACCTTAGCTAAAAGTTAGAAAACTAAAAGTTAGTATTGCCAGGAAAGAACTTACCTAAAGTTAGAATTGTCGCTAAGTTAGAATTCTCAGGAAAGACCTTAACTAAAAGTTAGTATTGCCAGGAAAGAACTTACCTAAAAGTTAGAATTGTTTGGAAGGTCCTTAGCTAAAAATTAGAATTCTCGCTAAAAGGTATAATTGTCAGGAAAGACCTTAGCTAAAAGTTAGAATTGTCAAGAAAGACCTTAACTAAAAGTTAGTATTGCCAGGAAAGAACTTACCTAAAAGTTAGAATTGTCGCTAAAAGTTAGAATTCTCAGGAAAGACCTTAATTAAAAACCAGAATTCTCAAGAAAGACTTTAACTAAACGTTAGAATTCTCAGGAAAGACCTTAACTAAAAGTTAGTATTGCCAGGAAAGACCTTACCTAAAAATTAGAATTGTCAGGAAAGACTTTTAACTAAACGTTAGAATTGTCGGGTAAGACTTTTAACTAAACGTTAGAATTGTCAGGAAAGACTTTAACTAAACGTTAGAATTCTCAGGAAATACTTTAACTAAAAGTTAGAATTGTCAGGAAAGACTTTTAACTAAACGTTAGAATTCTCAGGAAAGACCTTAACTAAAAGTTAGTATTGCCAGGAAAGACCTTACCTAAAAATTAGACTTGTTGCTAAAAGTTAGAATTCTTAGGAAAGACCTTAATTAAAAACCAGAATTGCCAGGAATAACTTTAACTAAACGTTAGAATTGTCAGGAAAGACTTTAACTAAAATTTAGAATTGATACAAGATGACAAAAAACTAATAACCTGAACACTTTCCAAAGCGCTCAAGTTATATATAGGATAGATATATCATATTGTATCAAGACTTACTGAACCTACGTGTTTTTCTTAAATTACAAAAAATAGAATTGTCAGGAAAGACGTTAACTAATAAGAAAATAAATAACTTATCAGTAAAACGTTTTCAATCAATTTTTTGCCATTTCGAGTTACGTAATGTTTGTCACTTTCTCAAAAAATTGATTAAAACACGATTTTGTATTTGTTTAACAAAGAATAAGATTAGTTTCTCGTGCGATATAATTCTCTATATATCTATTACACCTGTTATTATATAAAATCCTGAACCTATAGCTGAAAAAATACACTATTACACAATAAGGATGTTTAAAGTCCATTATATTACGGTTGACGAAGTGCTGAATGGAATTGGAACACACACGTATATAAAGTATTTGATAATCTTGAGATTTATTTTATTCTGTAGGAATTGCGTTTCATATTGGAGAACCGTGTAAGGATACATGTAACGATATTCTACACCCCATTTATTGCAACACTACCAGTAACCGGTGCGAGTGCAAACAACACTATCCCGTTAATGTTAACAACAAGGACTGTGTCAAGGGTAATATGTTGACGTTTTACTTTCTTAACCCTAAAATGTATTTTTGTTTATATACAGGACTCAAAATAATTTTTTTTTGGTAGATCCTTATCTTATAAAACTGCCTATTGTTTGGAATAGGAATAAAAACAAATCTATATTTATTCTAAGTTTTATTTATCTGATTATCTCGTTATATAAGCTATTTCAAGGTTTATGCAAAATAATAATGATAATAATAATTTTATTATTAAATAATTTTTTTCGACGAATATTAAATATTTTGACAATATGTTAATGGTTATATTTTGAATATCAAACTTAAATACTGAGGCAAAAATTGCAAAATTCGGTTTGTTTGTTTGTTTTGAATTTCGCGTAAAGCTACACGAGAGCTATCTGCGCTAGCCGTCCCTAATTTAGCAGTGCAACACTAGAGGGAACGTAGCTAGTCATCACCACCCACCGCCAATTCTTGGGCTACTCTTTTACGAATAGTGGGATTGACCGTCACATTATAACGCCCCCAAGGCTGAAAGGGCGAGCATGTTTGGTGTGACGGGGATTCGAACCTGCAACCCTCAGATTGCGAGTCGATTGCCTTAACCACCTGGCCATGCCGGGCCGCAAAATTCGGTAAATTCGATCTTATGTGAAATATATTTGGTGATTCGTTATTAATTCTATATTGAATATTAATCTGAACATCGAAACAAACTAATAATACAAAATCCAGGGAAATATATTCGTTTTTGGTTTCATATTTTCACCGTAGCTTTCACAAGCCAGATATTTACATCTTCCAATACGAAATCCAGGGAAATATATTCGTTTTTGGTTTCACATTTTCACCGTAGCTTTCACAAGCCAAATATTTACATCTTCCAATACGAAATCCAGGGAAATATATTCGTTTTTGGTTTAATATTTTCACCGTAGCTTTCACAAGCCAGATATTTTCATCTTCCAATACGAAATCCAGGGAAATATATTCGTTTTTGGTTTCATATTTTCACCGTAGCTTTCACAAGCCAGATATTTACATCTTCCAATACGAAATCCAGGAAAATATATTCGTTTTTGGTTTCATATTTTCACCGTAGCTTTCACAAGCCAGATATTTTCATCTTCCAAGAGCAAAATTATAGTTACTACACTATGTCAAGTCCCCCAGTGGCTCAGCGGCCAATCTCAAGGCTTATAACGCTAAAAAACCGGGTTTCGATACCCGTAGTGGACAAAGCACAGATAGCCCATTGTGTTGCTTTGTGTTTAACAAAAAGCAAACAAAAGCCTACGTTAAGGAAATTTTTATTTATTTTCTTCTGAATTATTTATATTTTGAAAACAATGTTTCCTTTCATTTTTCAAATCTCATTACTTTCATAAGTAAAAGAGTAAATCAAGAGTATGTATATCTATACATTAGTTCATAAATTCATGAAGAAATATTGTAGATTCAAAAATTGTTCCTAAGAAGAACGGCGTATGTTAGCTCGCCCTTTTCGAAAACTATTTTACAAGGTAACAGTAGGGAGCCTCAGTTTTTTAGTTTTCATCAGCTCAACCAATGTAAAACATATATAACTCTGCAAAGTATTGATAAGATTAAGAAAATTTCAGTTGTGCTTGTGTCAGCTGGCTGGTTTCTATTTCTTGAATAAATAATACAATAACTGATTTCTACATTTGATCTGATCAGTTGTGAACACAAATAGAACCATTAGGTAAAAATGATGTCATTATTTTGTAAAAGAAACGTTAGATTATTTTCTTAACAGAACGAAACGTAGTTGAAAATGATGTCATTATTTTGTAAAAGAAACGTTAGATTATTTTCTTAACAGAACGAAACGTAATCTCAGCAGTTCGCTGCATG